AAAATGGCAACAAGAAGGGGAAAAAGATCATTATACAATAAGGCAGTCAATTCTTCAAGATATGACAATCATAAATATATATGCACCCAACATTGTAGTACCTAAATATCATATGCAAGTACTAAGAAAACTGAAGGGAGAAACTTGACAACAATACAATAATACTACAGGAATTAAAGATTCCACTTTCTACAATGGATAGATATCCAGACAGAAAACCAACAAGGAAAAGCTGGACTAAGACCAGACCTTGGACCAAATGGATATAACAGACACATACAGAATATTCCATTTAGCAGCAGCAGAATACACATTCTTCGCAAGTGTGCATGGAACATTCTCCAGGACAGATCATATGGTAAGTCATAAAACAAGTCTTAGCAAATTTAAGACTGAAATCATACAAAGTAACTTTTCCAACAACAATGATATAGAACTGAAAATTAACAATAGAAAGAAATCTGGAAAACACCAATATGTGGAAATTAGAGAACATGCTCTGAAACGACTGGTGGGTCAAAGAAGAAATCAAACATGAAATCAAAAAATATACTGAAACAAATGAAAATGGAAGAACAACGTATCAAAATCTATAGGATTCTGCAAAGCAGTTCTAAGAGGGAAGTTTATAGCAACAAAAGCCTCCATATAAGTAAAAAAAAAGGTCTCAAATAAACAACCTAACTCTATACCTCAAGGAAAAAGAAAAAAGAACAAACAAGCCGCCAGATTAGCAGATGGAAAGAAATACAAAATAAGAGTTGGTTTCTTGAAAAGACACACAAAATTGACAAATATCCAACTAGACTAAGAAAAGAAGACTCAAATAAATAACCATAAATTAAAGAAGAAACAGTATAACTGATAACATAAACACGCAAAGGATCATCAGCAACTATTATGAATAATTATATGCTGACAAACTGGATAACCTAGAAAAAGTAGATAAACTCCTAGAAACATAACCAACCAATACTAAATCATGAAAAAATAGAAAATCAGAACAGACCAATAGTGAGTAATGAGATAGAATCAGTAATCGAAAACCTCCCAACACAGAAAAGGCCAAGCCAGATAGTCTCCCTGGTGAATTATACCAAACACTTAAAGAAGAGTTAATGCCAATCATTCTCAAACTCTTCCAGAAAACTGAAGAGGAGAGACTATTTCCAAATTCATCCTATGAGGTCAGCTTTATATTGATACCAAAGTCAAATAAGAGCACTATAAGAAAACTATAGACCAACATCTCTAATGAATACAGATGTAAAAATTCTCAACAAAATATTGCTAAACTAAATTCAACAGAACATTAAAAGAACCAAACACCATTATCAAATGGTATTTATCTCTGGAATGCAAGGATAGTACAACATATGCAAATCAATAACTGTGATATACCACATTAATAGAATGAAAGATAAAAGATCATAAGATCCTCTCATTAAAAACAGAAAAAGCATTTGACAAAATACAACATCCTTTCATGATAAAAATAATCAGCAAATTGAGTACAGAAGGAACGTACCTTAACAAAATAAAGGCCACATATAATAAACCCACAGCCACATCATACTCAATTGTGAAAAGCTGAAAGCTTTTTCTGTAAGATGAGGAATAAGACAAATGTGCTCATTCACACCACTCATATTCAACACAGCACAGGAAGTTGTAATGAGAGCTGTCAGGGAGGAAAAATAATAAAAGGCACCCAAATTGGAAAGAAAGAAGTAAAACTGTCTTGCAGAAAATATAATCTTATATAGAGATAGTCCTAAAGACCCAACCAAAAAGGTGTGTTAGAACTATTAAATTCAGTAACTCTGTAGGGTACAAAATCAACATACAGAAATCATTTGAATTTCTATACACTAACAACAAAACAGCTTAAAAAGAAATAAAGATAATACCTTTCTCACTAGCATCAAAATCAATAAAATACTTCAGAATAAATTTAATCAAATAAGTGAGAGATCTGTACCCTGAAAATTACAAGACTTTCATGAAAAAAATCTAAGATACAAAAGGAAAGCTATCCTGTGTTCCTGGATCAGAAGAATTAATAGTCATTACTACCCAATACCATCTGCAGTTTCAATGCAATCTATATCAAAATTCCAATGGCATTTTTCAGAAATAGAAAAAAATTCCTAAAATTTGTATGGAACCACAAAAACTTTGAAAAGCCAAAGCAATCCTGAGGAAAAAAAACAAAACTAGAGGTACACAATTCCTGATTTCAATTACACAGTATGATACTGTTACAAGAAGAGCAAACCAATGGAACAGAATGGAGAGCCCAGAACAAAACCCCATGTATATGCTCAACAAATAATCTGATGAGGGAGCTAAAAATACTCAACAAGGAAAGGAGAATCTATTCTATAAATGACATTGGGAAAATAGGATGTTCACATGCAAAAGAATAAAAGTAAACCCCTGGTTTACACAATTCACAAAAATTAACTTGAAATAGATTAAAGACTTAAATGTAAGAATGAACACCATAAAAATCCTAGAAGATGACACAGGGAAAAAGCATTGACATTGACATTGTTGTTGGCAATGACTTTTTAGATATGACACCAAAGCACATGCAGCAAAAACAAGAAATAATAAATGGGACTTCATCAAACTAAAAGGCTCCTGCATAGCAAAAGAAACAATCAAAAAATGAAAACGATCTATGGAATGGGAGAGAATATCTGCAAATCATGTATTTGGTAAGGAAAATGTCCAAAATATATAAAGAACTTGTAAAACTCAATAGCAAAAACCCAAACAATCTGATTTAGGTATGAGCAAAGGAATAGAATAGACTATTTTCAAAGACATAAAAATAGCCAAAGGTACATGAAAATATGCGCAATATATCACTAATATCAGAGAAATGCAAACCAAAACCACAATGAGATAACTCCTTACATTTATTAGAATGGCTCTCATCAAAAACTCAAGAAATAACAAACGGCGAAAATATGGGGAAAATGAAACACTTACGCACTGTTGGTGGAAACGTAAACTGGTATAGCCATATGAATAGCAGTATGGTGGCTTCTCAAAAAGTTAAAAGTAGAACTACCATATGATCCAGCAATCCCATTTCTAATCCACTTCGTATCCATGGGAAATGAAAACAGGATCTTGAACAGAAATCTGCATCCTCATGTTTGTATCAGCATTATTCACAATAGGCAAGATATGGAAACAGTGTCTGTCAATGGATGGATCAATAAAGAAAATGTAGTATTTATATAAAATAACATTTTATTCAGTCATGAGGAAGAAGGAAATCCTTCCATTTGTGCCAACATGGATAAACTTGTGGACATTATGCCAAGTGAAATAAGTTAGACAAGGAAAGACAAACGCTCTATAATATTGCTTATATGTGAAATCACTAAAAAACAAAAAACTGAAATCAAAGAAACAAAGCATACATAGCCTGTGATTACCATAGGCTGGTAGGTGGGGGAAAGGGAGAGATGTTTGTCAAAGGGTACCAATTTCTAGTTATAAGATGAATTAAGTTCTGGGGTTCTAATGTACAACATGATGATTATACTTAATACTACTGTATAACATACTTGAAAGTTACTAGGAGAAAAGATTTTAAATGTTCTCACCACAGAAACAAATGGTAATTATAGGACATGATAGAGGTGTTAGCTAACAATATAGTGGTAATCATTTTGTAATATATAAGCATACCAAATCAACATGTTATATACCTTAAAATGACACAATGTTATAGGTCAATTACATCTCAATAAAGCTGCAGAAGGCGGTAAGGGTCAGGATAGGTTTAAACTTAAGACCTGAAACTGTAAACTACAAGAAGAAAACAGGAGAAAGCTCTTGAACATTGGTCTGGGAAATAATATTTAGATATGACATAAGAGCACAGACAACAAAAACAAAAATAGACAAGTGGAACTGCATCAAACTAAAAAACTTCTTTTTTTACAAAAATTATTTATTTATTTTTAGAGAGAGCAAGAAAGGGAGGAGGGGCAGAAGGACAGAATCTTTCAAGCAGACTCCCCACTGAGCAGGGAGCCCCATGTGGGGCTGGACCCAAGACCCATGAGATCATGACCTAAGCTGAAATCAAGAGTCAGACACTCAACTGACTGAGCCACCCAGGCGCCCAAACTAAAAAACTTCTTAATAAAGGAAACAATCAACAGAATGAAAATGAGACCTGTAGGAGAAATATTGGCAAACCACGTATCTGATAATGGGTTAATCTACAAAATATGTAATAACTCATACAACTCAAGAGCAAAAACAAATAATGAGATTTGAAAATAGCAAAAGACCTGCACAGACATTTCTCAAAAGAAGACATACAAATGACCACCAGATTTATGAAAATGTGCTCAGCATCACTAATCATCAGAAAAATGTAACTCAAAACCACAACTTACACCTTTTAGGATAGCTATTATCAAAAAGATAAAAAATAAAAAGTGCTAGCAAGGATGTGGAGAAAGGGGAACCTTTATACACTGTTGTTGGGAATGAAGTTGGCACAGCCATTATGGAAAACTATATATAGACTCCTCAAAAATTAAAAATGAACATTATGATCAAGCAATTTCATTTATTGGTATATACATATAACTAATATTTTAAGTACCTTGATTGTGGCAATTATTTCACAAAACATCAAAACATTAATTCATATACCTTAAATATGTATCTTTCTTTATCAGTTATACCTTAATAAAGTTTGAAAAAATAAAAATATAGATGCTCAATAGAATAAAGAATTTAAATATATAGATAAAATTTAAATTATACATACATACATATGTATATAATTATGCATATAATTATATATGTGTACATATGCACATTATAATTATATTTATAAATGTAATATGCATATATATATACACATATATAATTATATATATAATTAATTGCCACTTGTCTTGGTGATGTAAATAAAAATATGAAGTACCAACTATGTAGATTTTACAAAACAACATTACCTTTTCCAAATGTGATCTCACAACGTGCATCTGGATCCTGGCAGCCTCCATCATAACACATATATTTTTCTTTACATACATGTCCATTCTGTATAGTTACATCATATGGACACTGCGGTGAGCTTCCATCACAAAATTCAGCAATATCACATTCATGATGTTTTGCTCCCCTACACTGAACACCTGCTCTTTCAATCTAATAGAAATTAAAATATAAAAAATAAAGCACTACATTTAAGAGTGTTGTGTTTCTCAGTATTTATTTCAAAACTGTTCTATTTCAAAATTAATTCTATTTATAGTTTAATGATCTATTTATTCATTAATGTCTATTAGTACCTTCTTTGTATAAAGCATTATGTTTATCATATTGAAAAAAATTGAATGTTATTAACTACAACAGGAAATAAGCATATGCACATGAAAAGTATAACACAAATATGATGTGATGATAGCCAAAGTTCTGTCTGTGTTTCAGTACAAGGGAAGAAAAATCACTTTTAGCTTGAAATAATTATTTCTTGGGTGAAAACAGTGTAATTCAGACAATTTCCAAACAAAATACACTTATTCAAAGTATAGTTTGTAAGTATGGAATATTTATAATTCTATGACAAATATGATACATAAATAACTGAGAATTAACAGAGGAAAACCAAAGGGTAGTTAAAGAGGTGGTTCTTAGAGAAGAAACTCAATCATAATTGTTCTCCTGAATTATCCTGTAGTTAATTAACACTTTCATATACAGAATCTGAAAATGTATATAAACAATCTTAAAGGGGCGTCTATCTCATACTTCTTAATTGATGATTTCCAGTTGACAACAAAAAGATCACAGAGGTAAGAATGTAACCACATGATAAGATTCTAGAAAAAAATAACAAAACTGCATTAGTCGAGGATAGTCAAGAACACAGAACCTATGTTAGGTAGTTCAATAGAGGGACTGTCATATGACAAATCTGTTACAAATGTATTGCAGGAGCTGAAAAGGAAAACGGGACAAGAGTCAACATCTTCAACATATAAACTAATATGTGATCTTTCAATTAAATGATCTTTGAATAAATAATAAATTTATAGTTTAAACTGTGTGCTAACATAGCATTTAGAAAGTGCTATTCTACGTGCTATGGTGAGCACTGTGAATTGTGTAAGACTGTTGAATCACAGACCTGTACCTCTGAAACAAATAATACATTACATGTTAAAAAAAAAAAAAAGAAGATAGCAGGAAGGGAAAAATGAAGGGGGGAAATCGGAGGGGGAGACGAACCATGAGAGACTATGGACTCTGAGAACAAACTGAGGGTTCTAGAGGGGAGGGGGGTGGGGGGATAGGTTAGCCTGGTGATGGGTATTAAAGAGGGCACATACTGAATGGAGCACTGGGTGTTATATGCAAACAATGAATCATGGAACACTACATCAAAAACTAATGATGTAATGTATGGTGATTAACATAACAATAAAATAAAAAAAGTGTTATTCTAGTTAAGTTTCATTATTTATACATTTATGGGAAACTGCTGTGTCTTTCAATTACATACCTACAGATACCTATCACAACCAGTAACAATATTATTTCTAAAAATATAAATAATGAATAGAGTAAATAAAAAGTCCCTTTTTTTTAAAGATTCTATTTATTTATTTCAGAGAGAGAGAATGAGAGAGAGCACATGAGAGGGGGGAGGGGCAGAGGGAGAAGCAGACTCCCTGCCGAGCAGGGAGCCCGATGCGGACTCAATCCTGGAACTCCAGGATCATGACCTGAGCCGAAGGCAGTCGCTTAACCAACTGAGCCACCCAGGCGCCCAATAAAAAGTCCCTTTTAAGGGAGATCTTCTGTATTGAAAATTGTATGATAGCTCTCAATCAAGGCTTAAGAACAACAGGATCAAGTCAGGCAGAATAATGGCATAAGAAGAAAACCTGAACATCCAATTAAGGTTCACAAAATCAAAAATCTGATTCTGACTTTAGTATATTTTTCTTTATTTGGAAGTTCACTTATTTTTTTAAGTTTTAATTTAAATTCCAGTTAGTTAACATACAGTATATTAGTTTCAGAAAATTCATTTATTTTTATTTACAGCTATAGGTCTAAGTGATTTAAAGTATCTAAGACATGATTCATTATATACTTAGAAGATATTAATAAACTTAAATCTTACTTGACAGTCCCTGCAGCATAATCCTGCATCACACTGTGATCCTGGTTTCAGTGTACAAGTACGAAAATTACAACAGGGAGCAGCTCCACATTGCTATGAATTAATGGAATGTACAAGTAAAAAGACATCATGATAATAATATAAACTTTGGCAGGAACTATACTTACTGGGCTTATTTTTTGAGTTTTGGGGAAGAATATGAATGCTGTCAACATTTATAGTTCTGCATCTCTAAACAATTAAAATACTAAATTAAGACGTTCACTTCAGGTCAAAACAGAGTAACTGGTACCAAGAAACTCTTACCCAACTAGAAAACTAGGAAAAATATATGAAACAACTTTTTTCAGAAAATAGAGAATAGTAAGAGAGAGCAGAACGGTGGGTAATAGTGTCTGGAGGGTGAGGGAAAAGGGGAGATACTGTTCAAAAGGTACAAATTTTCATTTAAGAATGAATTAGTTTTCAGGATCCACTGTACAACATGATGTACTATAGTTAACAATACTGTATCGTATATTTTGCTAAGAGGATAGATAAAGTGTCCTCACCACATACAAAAAAAAAAAAAATGGTAACTATGTGAAGTGAAGGTTAGGTTAATTAGTTTGATTGTAGTAATCATTTCAGAAGGTATATGTATATCAAAACATCATGTTGAACACCTTAAAAACATAATTTTTACTTGTCAGTCATACTTCAATAATGTTGGGGGGGTAAGGGTGTGTAGAGTTTATGCCCACTGCAGTTAGAACACCCCCAAAACTTCCCTCATTACTTACACCAAACACAAGTTCAATGGATTTCCAAAACCACTCTCAGGTTTGGTAATTTACTAGAAGGACTCACAGAACTCATTGAAAGCTTTTATATTCACAGTTATGGTTTATTATATGGAAAGTATGCAAATTAAAATTAGCCAAGAGAAGAAGCAACTAGGACAGAACCCAGGAAAAGTTCATACTGCCTTCACCCCAGGGAATTACAGACACAATACTCTCCCAAAATTGATGTGTGAAATTCCTGACTTATGCTATGAGGCCAGTGTAACTCTAATACCAAACCCAGAAACATTACAAAAAAGGAAAATTACAGATCAATATCTCTCATAATCATTCACACATCAATCAATTCATCATACTGACAGGCTGAAGAAGAAAAACCATATGACCATAACAATTGATGTAGAAAAAGCATTTGACAAAATCCAATACTCACTTAATGAATTATACAAAATATTAGCAAACTAGGAATAGAGAGAAACTTCCTAAATTTGATAGTGAACATACAGAGAAAACCTACAGCTAATATCTTATATATGTTGAGAAACTATAAGCTTTCCCCCTGAGATCAGGAACAAGACAAGGATGGTCGTCACCACTCCTTTCAACATCCTGTTGTAAGTTCTAGCTAATTCAGTAAGAAAAGAAAATGAAATGAAAAATATACAGGTTGAGAAGAAAAAAAAACTGTTTCTTCCATAGATTCTGTGATTGACTATGTAAAGAAAATCCCAAATGATTGACCAAAAAGCAAAAAAAAAAAAATTAAAATCTCCTGGACTACTAATTAATTACAACAAGATTGCTGGATACAAAGTTAATATACAAAAGTCAATTGTTGGGGTTCCTGAGTGGCTCAGTTGGTTAAGTGTCTGCTTTCAGCTCAGGTCATGATGCCGGGTTCTAGGATGGAGCCCCGCATCGGGCTCCCTGCTCATCAGGGAGTCTGCTTCTCCCTCTCCCTCTGCAGCTCCCCCTGCTTATGCTCGTGCTCACTCTCTCTCTCTCTGTCAAATAAATAAAATCTTTAAAAAAAAGTCAATTGTTTTCCTGTATACCAAGAATGAAAAATGGGAATTTGAATAAAAAACATGATGCCATTTATATTAGCACCAAAATAATGAAGTATCTGGGAATAGTTCTAACAAACTATTATAGAATCTGTATGAGAAAAACTACAAAACTCTAATGAGAGAAATCAAAGAAGGCATAAATAAATGGAGAGATATTCCATGTTCATGGATAGGAAGACTCAATATTGTTAAGATGCCACTTCTTGGGACGCCTGGGTGGCTCAGTCAGTTAAGCATCTGCCTTCAGCTCAGGTCATGATCCCAGGGTCCTGGGATCAAGTCCCGCATCGGGCTCCTTGCTCAGCAGGGAGCCTGCTTTTCCCCCCTGCCTGTGCTCTCTCTCCGTCTTTCTCTCTCTCTGACAAGTAAATAAATAAAATCTTAAAAAAAGAAAAGATGTCACTTTTTCCCAATTTTATCTAGAGATTTAATGCAATTTCAATAAAAATTCCAGCAAGTTATTTTGTAGATATTGACAAATTGATTCTAAAGTTTATATGGAGATGCAAAAAAATGCAGTATAGTCACATAATGCTGAAGAGAAGGAAAAGAAAGAAGAAGAAGAAAAAGGAGGAGGAGGAGAAGAAAAAAAAAATGAGGAAGAAAACTGAAGAACTGACAACACCCAACTTCAAAACTTACTATAAACTATAATGACAGTATGGTATTCACAAAAGAATAAACAAAGAGATCACTGGAACAAAATAAAAACCCCAGAAACAGACCAACACAGATAATAAATCTTTAACAATGGAGTACATGCAGCTCAAGGGAGAATGGATAGTCTTTCCAACAAATGGTGCTGGAAAAACTGGACATTCACATGGGAAATAATGACTAGACACTGACTCTACCTTTCACAAAAAATAACTCAAAATGGATCATAAATTAAATGTAAAATGTAAAGCTATAAAATCTCTAGGAGGGTAGATTTAAGATAGTAGATCTTATGTGAAGTGCTCTTCCACAATAAAGATAATAAATAAATAGGAATAATACCAATCATGAATAAATTCTTTCAGAAAGTACTGAGTTCAGAATTGCTTTGATGCTTAAACCAGAAAATATTACAAGAAAAGAAAAAACTGCACAATACAATCTCCTTGTGAAGATAAGTGCTGTCATCCCAAACAAAATATCAGCAAATTAAATCTAGCACTATATATACAGAAAAATGCAAGTGAAGCTAATGTCAGAATGCATGGTTGGGTTAGCATTCAAAAACCAATCAATGAAATGCACCATATTAATTAATTAATTAATTTTTAAAAGGAGAAAACTCATTTGAATCAGCTCGATAGACACAAAAATAAGACATTGGACAAAATTCAACACCAATTCTTGATTTAAGAATTGGTTAACTAACTAGAAATAGAACTCTCAACTAACTAGAAATAGAAAGGAACTTCCTCAACATGCTAAGGGTATATGTTTACCAAAAAAATTTTTATCTAACATCATATTTAGTGCTGAAACTCAGAAAGCTCCCTCCCCCCCAATAAAAACAAAGCAAAGACCATTCTCAACATTTCTAATTAACACTAGATCCAAGGTGAATTCACAAAAGTCAATTGTATTTTCTATACTAGCAATGGATAATTGTTAAATAAAATTTTAAAACAATGCTATAGAAACAACCATAGAAAAACTAAATGAATGAAAGAAGAGCTAAATAAGTGGAGATATACACCATGTACATTGATTTGCAGACAATTTTAATTAAAAAAAAAGTAATTCTCCAAAAATGGATGTATGAATACCACACAATTCCAATAAAGTCCCTATATTCACATGCTGATTCTCCAATTTATATGGAAATACAAAGGTCTCACAATAATAAAACTACCCTGGAAAAAAGGAACAAAGTTGGATGATTTACATTACCTGTTTTCAAAATTTACTGTGAAAACACATTAATTAAAATAGTGTAGAATTGGCATAAGTATGGTTACATAAATAAACAGAAAAGAATACAGGGATAGATACACATGTATAGTAATTTACTTTCATAAGAATGCTAAGGTAATACAATGGTGAAAAGATAGTCATTTTAACAAATACTACTAGAAAAATTTGATATTCAAATGGAGCATAATTAACCTCAAAAAAAATCTCCCCAAACACAAAACACACCCAAAATGGATCAAAGACTAAATGTGAGTGATAATTGTAAAACTTCTCATAGAAAACATAAGAGAAAATATTCATGAGCTTGAGTAGGCAAAGATTTCTTAGGCTACAAAAAGCATGACCACAGAAGAAAAAAAATGATAAATTGGTCTTCATAAAAAATAAAAAATGCCTGCTATTCAAAGATGTTGTTAAGCAACCAAAAAGGTAATACATGGATTGGAAACAAATATTTGTAATATACATGTTTGACAAAGGACTAGTATACAGCCTATAGGGAAAAAAACTCTTACAAATCAGTAATAAAAAAAACCAAACAACTTAATGGTTAATAAGGACATGAAAACAGGCTCAACATCATTATACTCAAAGAAAATACAAACGAAAACCATTGTAATGGCTAAAATTTAAAAGGCTGCAACATCACATTTTGGTGATGATGTGGAGGAAATTAAGTTTCATGTGTTGCTGATAAGAGTGTAAAATAATACAACACTTTGGAAAATAGTTTGCCAATTTCTCATGAACGTATACACTTATATGATCCAGCAATTCTACTTTTAGGAATTTGAAATAATGGCCCACTACTCTTAACTCAAATATCCATTAGCAAGTAAATGAAAAAACAGATTGTGCTATATTTAAACAACAAAGTATTACACATAATAAAAAGGAAGAAACTATTGTGACATAAAACAACACTGAATGAATCTCAAAACACAGTATTGAAAGGAGCACCTGGCTGGCTCAATCAGAAGAGGATGTGACTCTTCATCTCAGGGTCATGAATTCGAGCCCCACACTGGGTATAGAAATGACTTAAATAAATAAATAAACTGTAAGAAAGGAAGGAAGGAAGGAAGGAAGGAAGGAAATGTGCTGCATCATTCTATTCACATGACTTTCTAGATCAGACAAAACTGACAATCAGATGTTTCCTGAACAGGTATCACAATCTCAGATTTCAAGATATAGTACAAAGTACTATATAGTAATCAAAGCAGTATGGTACTGACACAAAAACAGACACTTAGATCAATGAAACAGAATACCGAGTTCAGAACTAAAGCTCCGCTTATATGGGCCATTGATCTACAACAAAGGAGGCAAGAATATACAATGTGGAAAAGACAGTCTCTTCAACATACAATGTCAGGAAAATTGGAGAGCTACATGCAAAAGAACTGGACAACTTTCTTACACCATACACAAAAAGAATCTCAAAGTAGATTAAGAAACTACATGTGAGACCAACCTGAAACCATAAAATTCCTAGAAGAAAACATAGGCAGTAATTTCTTTGATATATCTTTGACATAATATTTTTCCATTTATGTCTCCTCTACAAGGGAAACAAAAGCAAAATTAAACTACTGGGACTGCACCAAAATAAAAAGCTTCTGTGTAACTAAGGAAACCATCAATGAAACAAAAGAGCAACCTACTGAATAGGAAAAGATATTTGCAAAATTATATATCCAATAAGGGGTTAATATCCAAAATATATAAAGAACTTATACAACTCAACACCAAAAAAAAAAAAAAAAAAATCCAATTAAAAAATGGGCAGAGGACCTGAATAGACATTTCTCCAATGAAGACATACCGATGGCCAACAGACACATGAAGAGATACTGAACATCACTCATCCTCAGGGAAATGCGAATCAAAACCATAATGAGATATCACTTTACACCTGTCAGAATGGCTAAAATCAAAAACACAAGATAACATGACTTGGTGAAAATGTGAGAAAAAATAACATGCAATGTTTAGGAATGCGAATTGTTGTAGCCATTATAGAACACAGTATGGAGGCTCCTCAAGAAATTAAAAATAGAAATATCAAACAAACCCATAATTCCACTATAGGGTACTTACTCAAAGAAAACAAAAACACTAATTCAAAAAGATATTTGTACCACTATGTTTATAGGTGAATTATTTATAATAGTTAAGATATGGAAGCAACTCAAGTATCCTATGATAGATGGACAAAGAAGATGTGGGAGATTTATCTATATCTGTATCTATATCTATAGATATAATGGAATATAGATAGATGATAGATGATAGATAGGTATAATGGAATATTACTCAGCCATAAAGAAAAGAATAAAATCCCTCCATTTGTGACAACATGGGTAGACCTAGAGGATATAATGCTAAATGAAATGAGTCAGTCAGAGAAAGACAAATACCATATGATTTCACTCAAATGTGGAATTTAAGAAACAAATCAACAACAACAATAAAAAGACAAAAAAATAGAGAAAAAAATGGTGGTTGCTAGAGGGGAGTGGGCAGGGGAATGGAGAAAACAGATAAAGAGAATTAAGAGAACACTTATTATGATGAGCACCAAGAAATGCATAGAATTGTTGAATCATTATACTGTGCACCTGAAACTACCATAGCACTGTATGTTAATTATATTTTAAAAGAAAGAAATTACAAGAAAAAGAAATTAAGAAATTAAAGAAAGAAAGAGAGAGAGAAAGAGGAAGGAAGGAAGGAAAGAGGGAAGGAAGGAAGGAAGGCAGGCAGGCAAGCAGAATTAAGAGGGAGGACTTGTTCTATCAAATAGCAAAACATATTAGAAAGGCACAGTAATTAAAACAGTGTGGTATGGATACAAGTATATTCAGACCCATATATGTATCACACCCTAATATCACTTCCATCTATCTTGTAATCATGGAAATGTACAATATCTGCAGTATGGCTGCAAATACTGAATTATCTAAAAGTACTACAACCTGGACCTTTTGCATTCACTATATTTTCAGAGCTTCCCTACTAAGTGAATAATTAAAATCACCCTATGTTCAGACTGTAATATTAATAGCCTTACCTTACCATATTACTGATTCCATTGTGAAATAATACCCTAAAAGATACTTGATGGTCGGCTGACACATTAATCTTCAATAAAACATTTATAAAATATCCAGAGGTTAAGTACAGGTTTGGAAAGATCTTATATATTTAGTTTAGAATACAAAAGCTCATCTAGACTCCTATTTTTCCCATCAGCAATAATTTTTAGGAGTACATTTTTATAGTTGTTCAAAATCCTTCAGCCTACATCTATATGGTATATTCTTGTATATATTTCAAACTTGATTTCACTTACTGTAAATATTCGTCATGGTACTCAGTCATATTTGAGATACACAGATATATATATACATATTTGACAAAGAGATGAGCTAAAACAATAAATTTATTAATTAACTTTCCTATTTATCAGACTTACTTCCTCAGTACCACAGTCACACGCTTCACCTAGCTCCACTTTGCCATTGCCACAGATTGCTACCATGGTTCTTCGCATTTGTGGCTTATTCTGAAGACATCTGGCACCCATATTTGAAATGAAATTTTCAAAGTCACTCAAACTGCAACTGCTAAACGTCTTCATACCACTTGATCGCCTAGAGGTGAATCCATACAATGTCATTGGCAATACACTTCTGAAAACACAACTCTATATAATATAAATTAATTTTAAAATGTTAAATTTAATAGGTAATGATAAATGTTTATAACAAGTGCTTAGAGGTCAAAATTATTCCTGGGTAGGTCCTGTGATTTTATTCACTGGGATACATGTCCTTATTCAAATAAAATTAAGTACAACTTAATAGTAAAACTCAAACAGGCCAATTAGAAAATGGACACAGACTTGAATAGATTATTCAAAGAATACATATAAATGGCCAACAGGAAAATGAAAAGGTGCTCAATATCAGTAATCATCAGGGAATTGCAAATCAAAACCACAATAAGATATCACCACACACCTGTTAAGATGGCTATTATCATTAAAAAGATCAGATTTGGCAAGGATATGGAGAAATTGGAATCCTTGGTATACTGTTTGTGGGAATGTAAACTGGGGCAGTCACTGTGGAAAACAGTAGAGAAGTTCTTCACAAAATTAAAATAGAACTACCATATGATCCCACAATCCCACTTCTGGGTATATATCCAAAATAACTGAAACCAGGATCTCAATGGGATATCTACACCCTCATGTTCACTGCAGCATTATTCACAATAGCAACGATAGGGAAGCAACCTAAATTTCCACTGACAGATGAATAGATAAAAAAAAAAAAGTGGAATATATATGCAATGGAATATTATGCAGCCTTAAGAAAAGAAGGTAATCCTGCCATATGCAACAACATGGATGAACCACGAGGACATTATGCTAAGTGAAATAAGCCAGTAACAGAAGACAAATACTGCATGATCTCACATATATATCTCAAATAGTCAAACTCATGGATGCAGAGTTTGTACCATGTATAATGGTGGTTGTTGGGCTAGGAGGAGGTGGAAACAGGGAGTTATTCAATGGGTATAAAGTTTCAGTTATTCAATATGAGTACATTTTAGAAACCTGTTGCACAACAAGTACCTATAGTTAACAATAATGTATTGCACATTTAAAATTTTAAGAGAACTCCTGTTAAGTGTTCCTCCACAATAAAAAAAATTAAGAATAGATTAACTTTACTTTTATATACATTATAAACTACATGTACCTAAGAGAAAATTTTGAGTTTCTGGGCATGACTGTATATAAATTCTTGTATATAGAAAAAAAATATTTATACATGTATATGATGTCTCTTGCCTAGGACTGGAGAAAACCCTGTATCCATTTATGTCAATTCCCAGATATATATCAACAATTCTTCAAACTTCTCTTCTACTCCCTCAGTCTTTCCCCTGACCATTATAAAATTATGAAGGTATAAAATTATCTTTGAAAGTTTGAATCGTTTCTATTTCAATGTTTTTTTTCATTTTTATTCACAGGTTTGTAGTACATATGTAATATGACAGATGATTCATTAAGCAGTAAGTTGTTTGAGGCAGGAACTTTATCATCTTTATTACTGGTATTACTTATCACAAGTACAGTACTTAGCAAACACAGAATCAATTGTCTATTGGTTTTTCATAATAACAAAAAACTTTTATTAAACATACTGTGCTTAGTTCTGAGCTTTCTCACAGATCTCAGAGAAACTGTTTATTAATCAAAATTTTATATCATTATGTCCACATATCACTAATAAAGATAACTTCAGAGAATATTTCCATAAGATGAGTCACTTTCAATGTGTAGTAAAAATCTATCAGACAAGGAGAAAACTGACATTTATTAAGTACCTATTATTAGTTGGATATTTTAGATACTTGAATATTTAATCCTCACTACAAATCAGGGAGATTGGTATTGTCACCAGCATTCTATAGAAATTGAACTAAAGTTCAGAAAAGCTAAAAACCTCACAAAACTCAGTTTGTAAATTAGCAGGATCAGCATTCACACACAGTCGTTTAAGACTTCAAATTCACGTATTTTTTTACCCCAAAATTAATCTTTGAACATTACATAATAAAATATTTACTATTAAATATTAATAAATTTTTTACTGTAAACCATAAGTTTTGATAATACTATCACCAGAATTGAAAAGTGAGGAAAATTTTAATTGAAAACTATATGATATTTTGGCTCTGGAAACTATTTTTAGTCAACTATATGTCATCCCAAGTTATTCACCTTTTTGCTCCCCAAAACAGCAGTTCTTAAGAACAAGTGTTCCCAAGATTACTTGTAATCAGTTATACAGAATTTTTTCCATTTATTTTGTTGAGATTTTATACTTTGAATTCTAATGCAATGTTAGCTTTGTTCCCAAATTATTTTATAAATGCTTACTGAAACTATGATATAACTAGCCTAAGTTCTAGGTTCAGAGACAGAGAAATTAAGTGATAGAAAAAAGTAATGGTACTTTCCCACTGGAAATGGGAAATGCTCTCTACCATTTTTTTGAGGTTAAGGCTAGCACTTGACAGCATTTGGAAAAAAGAAAAAAGAACTTTCACTTCACTTTTGTGTCTGCGAGATTCATTCTTCGACTCCCTGAGACAAGAACCTTGCAATCCTGCAACACCTTCTCACAAATAAAAAAAATGTAGAACACTATATAAACCTGCGGGCAGGAGTTAAGATGGCAAGAGTAGTAGGGGGGCCCTAAGCTTGCCTCGTCCCTCGAATACAGTTAGATAATTATCAAATTCTTAACACCAAGAAATCAATCTGAGGTCGAGAGAAAACTGCAAGTCTAAGTAGAAAAGCAACGCCGTTTGGAAGACAGGCGGCGCAGAGAGCTGATCTGGGAGAGAGAGAACTGTGGGTAACGCGCAGGAGAGTCCTGCTTAGGGACACTACCGCAAGGCGGTATAAGCCGAGGAGCACAAAATCTGAAATCTTAGACATCCGCCCCTGCCCGCGTTGTGCCTGGCTTAAAGGTGCTCAGGGGGCAAAGAGGGTTAGAAGCCCAGGAGCGGACAGGGTGGTCTGAGGATTTCCTGGGTCACAAGAACAAGTGGCGCAGATGTGCTGCTCTGTTTTCAGGATAGGAGTGGAGACTCCGGCTGAGGGCAGCGAGTGTGCTGCCGGCTCTCTGCTCGGCGCCGCCATGAACTCCGAACTGCTGCGCCGTGGTGTGGCTGCACCCTGGCACAGGCCGGCCACAGGCAAACGTGCAGTGAGACCCTCCCCACGGGAGCGCGGCAGGTCCGCACCAGGGGAGTCCCTAAAATTTGGAGTTCTGAAACCCAGTCACATTCCAGAGATGAAACAGTTCAGACACAGGCAAGGAGAAGGCAGGGATCTGAGGGCAGCTGGGGACACAAGATTGATTGTTCTTCTTGTGACGGCTTCCTAAAGAGTTGGGGGCATAAACTCTCAGCACTAGGGCTAGAGGGCGGGTGGCAGAGGCGGGGGCTGCCATTTTCGTCCAGCCCATCAGCACTGAAAGCCTTCAGGGAGCAAAACCGAGCCACCTAGTGGAGGCCAGAGCCCCCTGCACCCTAGAGAGACATCCCCACCAGGGCAAGTCCACCTGAGAATCAGGGCAACAAGGCCCCTCCCCAGAAGACCAGCACAAACATCTTGCACACACCAAGTCTACTGATCTTAGAGTGCTACAGAGCTTCAGCTCTAAGGGAAATAGGATCTAACTTCCTTTTTGTTTTTTTTATTATTACTTTTTCATTTTTTAATTTTTTTAATTCCTTTTTTATTTGTTTTTGTTTTTTAATTTTTATTTACATATATTTTATATTTTTATTTGTTTGCTTGTTTATTTATTTATTTTTGGATGGACCTTCTTTTAACAAGCAGACTATAAAATACACCCAGGATCTACTTTTGTTGTTGTTTTCTTTTTCTACTTTTCTTTTCTGGACAAAATGACAAGATGGAGAATTCATCTCAAAAGAAACAACAGGAAATAGCACTCATGGCCAGATATATCAATCCAGATATAAGTAAAATGTCTGAACTAGAAAGTGGCAAGATATATTCAATGTGCTGAATGGGAAAAATATACAGCCAAGAAAACTTTATCCAGCAAGGCTGTCATTCAGAATAGGAGAGATAAAGAGTTTCTCAGACAAACAAAAACTAAAGGAGTTCACAACCACTAAACCAGCCCTGCAAGAAATATTAAGGGGACCCTTGGAGTGGGGGGGGGGGAGACCAAAATCAACAAAGACTAGAAAGGACCAGAGAACATTACCAGAAACACCAACTCTATAGGTAACACAGTGACACTAAATTCACATCTCTCAATAATCACTCTGAACGCAAATGTAATAAATGCTCCAGTCAAAAGACATAGGGTATCAGAATGGATTTAAAAAAAAAAAAAAAAACAAGATCCATCTATACGCTGCCTGCAAGAGACTCGTTTTAGACCTAAAGACACCAGCAGATTGAAAATGGGAGATGGAGAACCATCTATCATGCTAATGGACATCAAAAGAAAGCCAGGAGGAGTTAAGATGGTAGAGAAATAGGGGGACCCTGGGCCTTCCTTGTCCCTTAAGCAGAGCTGTATTGAGGTCAGATCACTTGGAACACCCCAGAAATTAATCTGAGGATTGGAAGAAGGGTCTCAACAGCTGAAGGGAGATAGCATGGCAGCTGTGAGGCATGTGGAAGTGAATTGGGGGAGAGAAAAAGTGCTGTGCTGAGGAGGGTAGGAAACCCTTTCCATGGGGAGAGAAAGGTTGAGAAGGCTTAAGAGAGTGCGGCCTTGGGTTTGCACGAGAAAACTTCTACGGACCACAGGCTAAGGAGCCAGGGGAATTGAGTGTGGCAGGTGTTTTTGCAAACAGTGTGGAGCTCAGTCTCAGGTTTTGGAAGTGCAAGACTTTTGCCAGAGGAGAACTGTGGCATGTGCTTCTGGGGAGAAGGAGGACGGTGGCCAGAGAGCACACAAAGTGGTGTAGGGATCTCCTGCAATGCACTGAGAGAAACTGTTCCCCTTCCTGAAGTCCATTTGGAAAAGGGTGTATTGCCTCTCCAAGGACAAAAGACCCTCTGGGCGCCGGCAAA